CAATACTGGCACTATAGGGTTTTTTTCCCCCTCCTCTAAATTTTCAACTTGTTCTGAATTCCGTATTGTCAGTATGTGCTCTGCTCATCTGCGTTTTCTAAAATGATGGTGATGATGCATGCGATTAGCTATTAGGATGGTGCTATCAGCATACCGAAAAGGATGAAAGAGTGCTAGCCAACGACTCTGACAAAGGTACCATTTCACTTGGGTTATTGGCACTGACCTATTAGAGGAGGGCAAGCAGGAAGCGTACCCAGAATGCTTTTGTTGAGTCCCACACTTTCAGAGCAGCACTATTCCTCTATGCCACACTTTCTGAACAGGTTTATTGGCTTCATTGTTTGCACAGACACTAACTTGGAAGGCGCACTCCGTACTGATGTTTGGAAAATCAATTGGATCTGGATTGGTAGTGCATGATGGAAGTAGGAGTTTGTAAGACACCTCACCTCCTAATTGTGAATGTGCCACAGAATTGCTCCTGGCCCCTGGGTACAATCCAAATTCACCTGTTGTTTGGTTGCCTCTTGTTACCCAGTTTGTAGGGATCATTTTGCTCTTCAGAGCTCTTCACAGAGGCTTGTGATTCTCTGATCCTGAATACTTTGGTGTCATCTGTAAACTTGGCAGAAGCACTAGGTGGCTCTGTGGCATGGCAGAATTGTGCAACTACATAAGGGTTTCATGCCGCTGTTCACAGAAAACACCTGATTTTCTTCAACCTAAAAGAAGCCACCTCAATGCAATGCAAAGCATGGGGGAGAGCCTGAACTATAACAATCGCATGGAAGATATCTTGAGGATACAATCAAGGCCTCATGTTGAATGGCTCTTAGAAATGTAACAGCTAAGATGTTCAGGATCTGGCTGAGGCTGGGGATGCACCCTCTTCCCATGGGCATTACATAAAGGAGCAACTCCTGTCCTGGATGTCTATGGACATCTGCAGTGAAGAAGACTGTGTGTGAACTTCTGAACACAGGTACCCCAATCTCAGCAGTTCCTGGATCATGCAGGGGCTCTGAACCATATGCAGGAATTCTCCATTGGCAGGTGGTGCCTATAGGAAGCTCATGCCTACATCACAGCATTTTCATGGGTCTGGTTTGGAATGACTGGGTTTTCTACTCATCTGGCACAAGTGTGTGCTTATGACTCTTCCACTGTTGCTGCTGACTCAGAAATATCGTTGTGCCAAGGACATGTTTAGTTTATGTACTCTCCTTGCAGCGTCAGAAGGGGGGAAATGGGGTAGACAGATGAATTAAAATTTAGCAGAGGAATTCCAAGTGATTTTTTTCCCCTGATGACATTTGGTGAAATCAAAATAGCAGACACCAAATGTATCCTGGAATTGGAAATGAAGGCTCGCTGTCCTCAGGGAGGGTGGATGATACACTCCTTAGTGGAAGACACCAGTCCCGGGAGAAGTTTAAGCAATCATACACCTCAGGGCTTGGGTGGAACGCAGTGCAGGAAGACTGAGCTTCAGCTTTCAGGGAAGCATCTATTGTGTGTAAAACATTTATAAATCATGACACACATAAAGCAAATGAGAACACATAGGCATTAGCCCAAACACGTAGAAATGAGAGAAGCCGATGTAATGTGACAAAGGCAGAAGGTTTATTGTATGTACAAAGACAGAAAGCTAAGACCATGCATAGACAAGCAATGTAGCTGGAGAATACATCTGTACAAAGAAGGGGACAGAGAAGAAATTCTGAAGACAGAGGATGATCTTGATGGCAAGGTGGCAAAAGAAAGAGACATTCTTCATGCTTGCAGGGAGACAGTGGCATTAGCAGTAGGCATGTAATGTGGCAAGAATTCTGCTTTTTGCTGGACTTCCGTAATCTTAGAAGATGCTTCTTGCATGTGCAATTGCACTTCAGCACTTGGGTTCCCAGCTCTGAGTAGATATTTTGAGGGGAGGGAAGCATATTCTCTGTGTTTGTACTACACAGTTGTTGTGCTTGACTTAGGTTTTCAATTGCATGAAGGAGAAGAGTCACAGGCAGGGAAATGCCCTTGAAAGCTACACGGTTCTCTTCTCTATTCCATGCTTCCTTGTACCTGAAATATATCCTACTTTTATACATTCCTTAGTAATGCTTAGTCCTCATATGAGTGTTTTTCTTTAAGGTTTAAAAGTGATCTTATCTACAGTCATCAGGTCTGACATTTGGGATAACATATTTTGGGATAACATATTTTAATTTTATATTTGTAACTCAGTGTATTTTTTGTATTTTGTATTTAATGTTAATTTATTATGTTCTATTGTATTTCAATGTATTTTATTGTGTTGTAAGCAACCCTGAGGTTTTGGCAAGGGGCGGCATAGAAATGTTATAATAATAATAATAATAATAATAATAATAATAATAATAATAATAATAATATTACTGCTGTGTCAGTTAAGACAACGATCTTCTACAATAAGCTGGTACTATCGTCATATTATCAGTAGGAGTTGAGAGAATGTGCATTTTTCTAGGTTGCATGTCTGAAAGAATTCTTGCCTGTCTCCCACCCCTTATCATATATAGCTTGGGGTAAAGGTGGTGTTTGTCTTTTGTGGTTTAGGGGAGATGGGAAAAGGTATCAATTAATCCAATCATGAATGAAAATCAAGTCAAAGCTGGAGGAAATTTTGCTCCCACCCTGGCAAAAGCTTATACTGCTTCTTTAGGGACGCAATCCTGAAAACACGAACTAGGACTGGGCGCCATTGAGTTAATTGGAATATGCCAAGCCAGCCCAAGGTATTTTTCTGCCTGGGGTGAAGGACAAGGTGGTGACTCCTTTGGGTCCACATATGTCCAACTGTAGGGCTCATGCTGCGATTCTCATCTGAGTGGTGGTGGTGGTGGTGGTAAATGATTTCAGGTTTTGGACTCTGATAGTGTTCTGTAATTTTGTGGGTCTCAGTGGCCCAATTGCTTAAGCTACTGCAGCTGTATTTGGGGGCTCTTCTGTTAAAGGGGGACTAGGCATTTGCCCTGAGAGCATCACTGCAGCTGTGGAGCAAGTGGAAAGGAGAATGGGGATCATGAAAGCCATTGGGGGACTTCCTTGCAAGAATGAAAAAGGCTGGTCATTAATATAATGAAGGGATGAATGAATTAATGCATGCATGCATGAACGAATGTGCATAGGACCATGGTTTTAGAAAAACATATGAATTATTGTGTGAGACACATGTCACTCTCACCTTTCAAAAGGACTACTTTGGGCATGTTTCAGAAAGGAGCATGGGTTCCCTCACACGAGTGTGCCTTCTGGTTTTGCGCAAAACAGGGTTCTCACTTTTTGTAAGGGCAGAAGCGGACACAGCATATGGGATACCTCCAGCATTGCCTACATTCTAATTCTTAGGAAGGTCAGAGTTTCCCACCCCACAGCAAAGAGGCCAGATCCGTGAGTAATGCAGCAATGCCCAGGACTTGCCTTGCCATGAGGCAGAAGGAGGTGATGCTGCCTTGGGAGGTGAGCCCTGGAGGACGGTGAGCAGCATCAAGGTGCTGGTAGGCAGAGTTGTGCCCTTCAGGGGCAGCCAGGAGGACACCGGTAAATCATGACCTGCAGGCATTCCTTAATGACAGCCCACAGAGCCATGCCTGCAAGGAGAATCCAAAAATTTGGACAGTCCTTTGGATTCTCATCAAGGAACAGTTTTAGCTTCCCACCCAAGTGAGTCTTTTGTAAGAGGAGAGGATTGCAATTTCCCAGTGAGGACTAAGGCACCTCAAAATACTTTACCTTATATGTGGGGAGAAAAGCTTGCTGCTGGGAAAATCCATTTTCACCAGCTAGTTGGAAGATTGCAGTTCAGTTCACAGCAGATGGAGAAGTCTGAGGGGCAGTTTGAGACCACAACCAGTATCTTGAGATTAATAAAACAGGCACTGTCTCTGCAAGCCCTCACTCCACCTCTGCAGTCCTGTGGACAGGTGTGAAAGGACGTGTCCACCGCCAGCCCTGCCAACCACATGCAATGGTGGTGGAGTACCATCTTGTCTTTCGCCGCAGGCAGAAAACATGGAAACTGCCTCCTTGGGTGGGTGCCCTGAGCGCATGAGAAGCCCTAATCATGTGGATGATTTATTTCTTCTGGCACCCCAGTGAAATGCATGTTGAGAGCAATGCACCTTGGCTGGAATATTTCAAGCCATGTAGGAAAAATAGATAAGTTAGGATTTGTACAATGTAATAGGATATTTCTTGTCAACCACGTCACACTGGAAGATGCCCAGATATTGGGTGGGAGCAAAGCCAGTGAAGGGCAGGGAGGACAGGTGTCCTGGCAGGTGTACCCCTATACCTGTGTATGTATGAGCTGATAAGGTAGTTGAGGAACACATATATACAAAAGAGTGTGGGGGGAGTGAGCACCAGCATTCATAGGTCCAGAAGCTATTCTGTCAGGGGAAGAGACCATATTCTTTAAAAAGGATAAGTACCCAGACTGTCTTTGCCCTCATCAATAGATGCATGAAAATCAAACTAGTGAACAAACCCAGAGCAAAAGGAATGTACAAATGGATGAGAGCTGAGATTTTGAACATCTGCTTTGGGGATGTTTTGCTTTCTCCTCTCACATGAAAAGCTCAGCAGTGCTGAGAAACATGGATCTAATCCATAGTCTCCATGCTTGACATCAGAATAATGTGTAATGGGCATTAGTAATGTGTACCAAAAATGTACAATGGCTTAGTTTACATATGTTCAAAATGCAAGGAAAGCAAGTTCCAAGTGTGGTTTGGGTTTGTTACGGCTCTCCTGATTTCTAACTTAGTGTTATCTTGAGCCAAGGCATCTTCTGTTGTGCTTTGTGAGTTTCAAAAGGGAAATGCCCTTCCTGCTGACTAGTAGTCATCCTGCTCACCCCACTCCACCGCTGGGTCGTCGTCCATGCGCAGAATGAGGTAGGAGAGAAGCTGAAAGAGATTCTGCCATAGCAAGAGAGAGACAAAGAAGGAGAGGTCGCTTACGTCTATCTCGCAGCGGTCGCCAGCATAGTTGACGTCACAGATGCAGTGGAATTTGTTGAGCTGGTTCTGGCAGAGGCCCCCATTGAGGCACGGGTCAGAGCGGCACTCATTGATGTCCACCTCACATCTGCGGGATGGAAAAGGTAGGTTAAGAACGTGGGACAATTCTTCCAACATAAATGGAGGAGAATACAGAGAAGTGAGAGCCAATGCGGTAAAGTGGTTCTGGATGCTGAACTGGGACTCAGGAGATCTGGGCTCTAGTGCCCACTTTGCTATGAAGCAGGCTGACTTAGGACCAGTCCCTGATTCTCAGACCAACCTACTTCACAGGGTAGTTGTCCTAAGGATAAAATGGAGAGGAGAGAACTTTGTGAGTGGCTTTGGGTTCCTTGCAAGAGAAAGAAAGGTAGGTTATAGTTGTAATGTCATCATTCATCATCCTTATTATTTAGGGCTCTCTGCATCAAATTTTCAGGGCCCACTGAACATTTTATCTTTCCAGCAGAGTTTAGAACAGGGTGGGCAGCAGTTCTGCTGAGGGTTGCTTTGGAGGGCAACCTGTTGAGACTGGGCATTGGCAGTGGGCACAGCCAAAGCAAGCAGTGGATGAGGTCAGAGCCAAAAGCACATGGGTCAGCCCTTTCCTTTTGTACTGTCCCCTTATTTACCTTTCTGCTACCTCTTTTCTTTTCCTGTTTCTTTCCAGCTACCCTGGGATGTCCTGGGAAGATGCCAGCAATACATTGCTAGCTGCAATATCAGTGCACCTCAGCTACAAAGGAGCCATCCATGATGCTGGATCCAGTCCTTGGAAAAGGTTCAGCACAAGGGACATCTCCTTAAACATTCATAGTACAGTTGGAGTGGGCACTGTCCCACTGACATTGATATATCCACAGCCCCCTTGGAAGGGACCAGTGGCTCCTGCTAGTGATCCAGCCACGTAGCATGCAGAGGGCTTTTGAAATTGCCTGCCCCAGTTTAGAGCACTGATCTTCTGTATGCAGGTGGGAATGAAGCAGGATTGCAAGCAGCAACCTTGGTCCCTTTACCATGATTCTCTTTTTAAGAGAAGACTGGCCTGGGAGCAGAGAGATCGGTGACAGGTACCAAAAAGAGAGAAGCAGACAAAGCTATATTGTAAAAATTAATAGAAAGTTCCATGTTACTGGTTGGAGCTACAGATCCTTGCCACAATTGAAAATACTTAAGACTTCTCATTTAAAAATACTTAATGAGGTCACGTAACTTCTTAAGCAATTTTAAAATAATGGGCAGTGTGTGCATCTGAGGGTTGATCTGTATTTTGAATTCAGGTCTGTGTGTCTGTCTATTGAGAGATTATGCGTATATGCAGAGCGGGCAAGGGGTGGGGAGAGAAGGAAGGAGAGATGTGGCATAAATAGCATTATTGCTTTTCCCCCTGTAAAATTCAGGCACCAGAGAATATTGGGTGTCTGCTAAGGGTACACTCTCTGTCCATACAGATCCCTACAGAAGCTGATTGCAAACAGGAAAATCTTTTAAGGTTTGAAACATGATTTAATATAATTTCACAATCTTCAATAAATGCTCTTGACCTGGGGCGATGGAGAGAACCATATTTGGAAAGTTTGCTCCATTTGGTATGTTCTGAGGAGAGGTGATCGGTATCCAGTTGCCATCCATTAATTCAGGGAACTGGAAAACTCCTGTGGTTATCAGGTAACCAGGCTGAAAATAAGGAAAGACTCCCAGTGCCAAAGTTGTTGTTGATTTGGGTGGGAGGAAAATGCATCCCCCCCACTTCCTGCCCACAAAATTCAGAGGCGTAGAATATGCTTCTCAAAAAGGTAGTGTTTCCCACTGAATCTACCGAGGCCAGTGGGGGGTCTTTCCTGACTGCTTAGGTTATATACACTGCAGCGCAGCGGTGGCTGCCAAATCCTTTGTGCATTGGTAAGCCAGGAATTTTTCATGTCATCCATAATTTACAACAAGCTGCATAGATCCCTTGAAGTCAGGACACACTAAAAAGTAAATGGAGATGGCCAGAAAAGAAGTAGGATTAGAGCCAAACTAGATATTATGTGCAGTTGTATGAAATTTCCTCCCAGCTTTGGAAAAGAAAAGCCGGACTTCCAATCTGCCACTAGCAGGAACAGAGGAATTGTGGGAGAAACATGCATGGCCATTTCTGTGCAGGACACTTTTTCTATTCAGAATTGTCTGTCCAGCCCTTCCCCTGCACCCCACATTTACTTTTCTTCCCACAGTACCTATATATTTTTTCCACTGGATAAGTGAGTGGATAGAAATAGCTGGGAGGAGAGTTTTGCAGGCACTCAAATTTGCCTTGGGAAAATTTGCCTTGGGAAGGTATCATGTAAAGGAGCTCAGTCTGTGCATTGCTAAGGAGTCCATGTGGTACAGTCTTGCCAGGACTGTTCCACTTTACAGTTCGGGAAACTATCAATGAACCATCCAGGCCCAGGAACAACAGCAAAACAGCCCTGAATTTCAGAATGAGACCTATGTATGATTTCTAGCCTGCCTTTCTAACAGGAAAAATGGCAACTCAGACTCAGGTTACAGCCTTCCTCTTTGACTCATTGCTTTAGACAAACTTTCCCTCATTTTGTTTTGCTTTCTTGCAGATGATAGACCTTGCAAATGAAGTAGCATAAACCCGCACACCAGCATCCTTATGCTTGGCCAAGTGGACTGGAAATGGTGCTGTGCTGAGGTTCCTTGCATGCTGTTACTGCATGAGACAGTCATGCATCCCTTCACAAAGGCACCATGTATGATAGGCCAAAGCTTCTCACCGCTGTCCTGTGAAGCCTGGGAGACACAAGCATTCCAGGTGTCCTTGGAGCTCCGTACAGTTCCCGTAGTTGTAACAGGTCAGATTTCTGTTCTGATTCCCACACACTGTGGAAGGCAGCCGTATCCGTCTAAAGTGAAACAACAGCAGTGAGTCCATAACTCAGTTATTTTTCAAAGGTAGTCTAGTTTCCACATCTTAAAATCCTGATCTAAAGCCTGCCTTTCAATGCTTTATATCAAATGAGGGCTTCCTTTGAATGGGAATTGCTTTGCTAAGGTAATAGTGTCATGGATTGGCAGCAGGCGGCCAGTGCGTCCCGAAAGCGTGAACGAGAGCCACCTTGGAGGCCCTAATGGTAAGATGGTCTTGCCTGCAGCCACTTCTTGCCTCTCAGGATAATGGAGGCAAAGGCCTCATCCAGTTGCCTATGTAACTGGGCTAACCTGAGAGAGCAGCTCAGAAGCAGCACCCACATCATTAAGCCATCAGTTGAGTCAGGCCTGACTCGCTCAGTGCTCACCTCCACGTAAACAAGGCTACAAACGCAGAGCAATGAGCCAGTTTAGAAGGTGCAAAGAGAATGTGCTATAAACAGATGATGCTGATAGATGAGTGTTTCTTTTCTGATGTCTAAACACACACACAGAGAGATACAGTATATTCTCTGAATATTTCAGATTTACCACAGAAGTCCTCAGAAGAAATCGTGTGCTCCTATTGTCTAAAATATTCCTGATTCTGAAGGTTCTCTGGTGCAACATTTGAAATGCCTTGCTTCCTTATTATCTAGGGAATGTCACCTCCTCTATGACAATCCTCTCCCCTACCACCTGAGCATGCATTAGTGCTGACATTCTGAGGAGGACTTGCTCTATGAAGCCCCATCTCATGGACAGGTTAGGAGTAGGGTCTTCTCTGTGGTGGCCCCACCACTCTGAAACTCCCTCCCAAGAAAGACTCTTTCAGCCTCTTCAGAATACTTTCAGAAATGCCTGTAGGCTTTTCTTTCTCAGAGTGCCTTGCTCCATTGGTTTTCCTTTTCCTTCTGCTGTATTGTTGTTGTTGTTTGTGTTTAGATTTGTGTTATTGGTGGTTGTCTTTATTGAAATCACACACACACAAACACACACTTTCCAGTTTCTTCCACTTCTGCACACTGATTTTCCTCTATCATCGGTTCCCTGGTCTCATAAGACTCATCCACCAGTTGGTTGCACCTTCTAACTTTCCTTTCTCTCTCTTGTGAGTGCCTCACAGAGATAACACAGTAGCAAGCTGCTCTGGCAGGAAACCCAGCAACCCCAGGGAGTTCCAAGCCAGACTGGGTCACAATTATGCACATGGAATATATAATTTTTCTTATCATTCTTACAGATTACACTCAATACTAAGATCTGGTTACAACAGAATGTTGGAAGGTTTCTGACTTTTGCCCTCAGACTAGGAAGAGAGGACTGAACAAGTGCAAGCATCCATCTTTAGCAGAATGGTTTTTTAAAAAAAAGATACCAGCCAAATTCTAGGCAAAAAAGTAAGCCAGGGAGCTCACTGGGTGACTTGGCACCAGACATTCACTCTCAGCGTTGGGCTCCTCGCAACAGAAGAGACAGAATATAAATGCAGTCTAAGAACAATAATAAAATTGCTAGGAAAGAGAAAGGGAATTAGACAATCTCAAAAACTGCATGGTTTTCTACTCTGCGACATCCAGAATTGTCCTTTTGACGTGCTTTAGATGGGAGCCCTAGATGCATAGTGCCACAAACACACGAAGCAAAGCCCCACAGTGTTTAGGTTTTAGTGGGAGAGTCTTGGGAAGGGTGGTTCAGAGTGGAAAAGTAGTATTGTATGTGTTTAAGGCTTTTCACCTTATTGGCATCTGCAAACGCATTTTGCAGAGTGGTTGTGCCTGAGGGGTTCTAGCTTCATGTTTACCTTAGGTTGGGAGATGGAGAAGAGGACAGAGCACCTGTGGGTAAAATTTGGACTGGCAAGTTATTAACTGAGAAGAGTCCACCACCTGTCCCACCTGCCTCTTCTTTGCAAAAGGCTCTCCCCTGGAGCTGTTTCTCACTGCAAAATAGGGCCAACACGGTTTATTATGAGCTTTGGCACAGCAAATACGGTTTGCCCCTTATCTGCACTACACATGGATAACTAAAGAATTCTTGATTTCTCAATGGTTCCGATCCATTGCTATGTTCACTTTTGTTCTGGCCCAATAGAAAACAAATATTTTCACCCCTTCATCCTTCATCGCAAACCGAACTAAAAAATGTGCATTTGTGTGCATTTGAATCTCTCCCATCCCTCAGGCCATCTCTCCCCCATGTTGACTCACTGCTGAAATTCAGATGGGAAGAGGAATCTGTTGTCAGGGCTGCCCGAAGGCATTTGCAACCTGAAGGACAGGACAAAGATGGCACCTCTCCTCCTATCCTGTGCATATGAAAGTGGCTGGATCTGTTTTCAATGCTGGTGATGGGATGGCATCCTCCGAGGGGGCAGCAGGCTAGGTGATGGGATGCCAAGCAGGTTTCATGGCACACAGAGCTGGCGACTGCTTGCTCCAGAGCATCTCTGCATGCTCACCTTACCTACTGGTAGGGCCAGCCCTGCTGCTTGGTTTTGCTTTGGTCAAATCCTTGTGCAATGCACCAGGTACAGTGATGACCTTATGCCAGTAAGTAATAATGAACAATGAAAATGCATCGAACAGACGCCTACAACATTACCTGATTTCCTCAAAACGCAACTCTCAGTCCTGCCATGTCTAATCAAGGGTTTGCTCAGGATTTAATCACTGCCTCATTTAAGAGCTCAGGAGGAAAGGAAACTTGTAGTGGATGAATGTCTTCATCAGGCTTCATTACAGTACCTGCAATACCTTCCGGTGAAATTCCCCGCGCAGAGGCAGGAATAACTGTTAATTCCATCCAGGCAGGTAGCCCCATTTGCACAGAGATGGCCAAGGCAGTCATCAATGTCTTCCTCACACCTTGCGCCCATGTATCCAGACTCACAGAGACACACATACGATGCCGTACGGTCGCTGCAATTCCCATGTGCGCAAGGGTTGGATGCGCATTCATCAATGTTGATTTCACAGTGGCTTCCGGTCCATCCCTCAGCGCACGTGCAATGATAGTAAGCGTAGTCATCCTCACATTTCCCGCCGTGCATGCAAGGACTAGAGAGGCAGGCATCCAACTCCATGCAGCCGGTGACCACAGTGTTGGCGGAAACCTTGAGGAACTGCTCCTCTTGGGGTTTTTTAGTGTAGCCATCAGCAGGGTCAAAGTAGGAGAGGTGGATGCCACCAATGTCTACAGTGCTCATGCATCCTCTCAGTCCATCCAAGTGGTCGAACGCTTTGTCGGCGAGATAGATGTCTGTCTCATCCCTCAGGAAATTAAGGTTCCCTGTGGCAACAGCACTGGTTGTGCTGTCTTTGGCCTCATCTAAATCAATGCACCACCTGGATGACTGAGACAAGGGTTCTGTCATCTTGAAGGTCACCTGGTGCCACTTCCCATCATTCACTGCCCGTGCGCTAGAAAGGCTCAGTGTATAGAAACTGTTGCCACTTTGCAGCTGAAGCAGCAATTTGGTATTCTGGATGCTGATGCTGATGAACTCTGGCTCCTTTTCTGCATAAAGCAGCATCACATTGGAGTCTCGAGTCCGAAAGCTGAAGGTGATGTGAGTGAGATCTCTTCTGATCTTCCCATTGCTTCTATAAAAGATCGCGCTGCTTCTGCCACTGAAAACAGCATTGGCAAGACCTGGGCAAGAGATGACAAAAGCCACCATGTGTGTAAGAGTGGTGTGGTTGCAGAGCAGGCTGCAATGTATTTTGGTTTCAGTGTTGTATTTACCAGCATGTGTTTGATGCTGAAACACACCCACATGCGCACCCGCAAAAACATAAATAAGGGACAGGACAGAGTTCGCTAGCTGAACACATGCTTCTTCATGCAGAAGGTGTGAAATTTAATTCTGAGCTTCTTCAATTTACAAGGAAGCAGCTCAAGTGGAAAAAGATGGATGCCGGGCATCTTGGAGGTCTCTCCCCCACCCCAGCTAGAACTTGAAATAGGAATCTTTTTCCTCTGCATTGTAGCTACATGGTGGGGGGATTGTTTTCCCGGTGGTGCTAGTGATGAGAAAAAAAAGCTTCCCCTACCCACATGCTGCATACTTGGTAAGCTCCCATTAACCCCTACCCCCCCCCCACACACATACACAACTGTAATGAATAAAAGTACAAAGGAAGGAGTAGCCACAGAGAAACTCAACGAGCTGGTGTACATACCCTCCCTCTCACACACACTGTCCTGCAGCCAATTCAAAACACAGCACAAACTCAACATCCCTAAATATGAATCAATAAATGGAAACAAAACTGTGGCCGAATCTATAACCTCCTTAACTAGATTCGGTGAATAATTGAAAAGTCAGAGGGTAACATCCTGATAATTACAACAGATCTCCTAGGCATCCTGCCTTCTTTTCTCTCTTTGTCTTAATGGCACATACATGTTCATAGATGACTAAATGTAATAGCATTAATAATATTCTGGATTTGTTGAAAACACAGCATTCCTGAATGTGTTTCTTTACTATATTAATTCTCTCTCTCTCTCTCTCTCTCTCTCTCTCTCTCTCTCTCTCTCTCTCTCTCTCTCTCTCTCTCTCTCTCTCTCGCACATATGTACACATGCATGCACGTGTGCATACAAACACACATTCATACTTACTCATGTGCATTTACATCTCCAACATCACAGGTGGATAGAAGTTGGACATGTTTACCTGCTCTTGCTGAGTTTGAGACAAGCTACTTTGCTACACATCATTCCAACTGCACAAACTGATGGGTGGGGTTCAGAGACAAATCTATCTATCTCTGGGGGATTTGCAGGACATTGGCAAAGATGTCCAACTCTTTACTAACAGCAGAAACAAAAAGGATTCTCTTCCTGTCCCTGATTCTCCTGCTGAAATGAGGAAAATTTCAAAGATTAACCAGGAGTGAATTTTTGACTGGGAGGGCATTGAGCTGTGTTCAGTTTTGGTAATCAGAACAAATTCCTGGACTTAGAATTCTATAGCAGTCTTTTGCAGCTCTGGTTGGTGGCTCTTTGGATTCTAATTTTAAAAAGTTGATGTGACAAGCATGAAGTCTGTCCACCACTACTTGGGACTGCAACTAACAGATGGAGAAGAGGATTGGATGCAATCTAGGCAACATGATTTCCATCACTACCATATGGTGTCGATAGAAATTTACCTTCTCTTCCATCTTGCAATGCACATAGAAATGCTTTTCTGTACAATATGTAGTCAGAACTACAGAGCGTAGGTTTCACTTTTAGGAAAGCTAGCTCTTCTGTGTGTCTGCCTCTGTATCTGGGCCATGAAATCTGGGCCACGAACACACACACAATAATAAAACTACAAATACTAGAAAGTATGTTTGTGATGTCACAGACAGTAGGCAACAGGTATCCCATAATGCAGAACCAAGTAAAAACATGGAAGTGAATGGGGTCTTTTGTGTTTGTTTTTCCAGAGAGTACTCCAGGACACTTCCAAACTGGGAGTTTTTCCTCTGTTTGAGTGACTCTCTGCCTCATTTCCTTAACATTCAAACTTACGCAGGCATCAATGGAAAAACATTCCTACAGTTCCCAGCATTCCCCAGCCACTTTGGGGTCAAAACATGCACAGGGTTTGTACCTTTCAAATGGTCACCTGCCACAGCAGTAGCAAATTCCTCTATATAATATACTTAATTTCCTTCTTGGTGCAATGTTAGAGGCATGCAATTGCTCAAACGCTTAGGTATAGATTCATGATTTTTAGCCCTCTAATTCCTTTTGGTGTCATTATCTTCCCAATGTCAATAGCAATATGCAGAGACCCAAATCCTCCAGGAGGGCTGAAAGCTTCTGTTGAACCTGAAGCAGTTCTGCAGGTCTACCCTGGTTTGCCTCCTTTCTCCAACTCTACTAAGAATTCTGGAGAGGACTCAGAGAAGGGAATACTTGCATTCATATCCTTGATGCACCAGCTGGCAGCGTGCTTCGTGGGGGCAAGGACTGAGCTCACACCATTCCACTTTCTCACATGCTTTCCCGGCTGTGTTTGGTGGGCAGGTGCAAGTGAAGTCATCCCAAACAGAATAGCAGACACCCCCATTCCAGCAGGGGTTGGACTATACAGGAGAGATGGGAGACAAATGTGAGCATAAAGCAATGCTGTTGGTTATAAGAACAATCAATCAATCAATCAATCAGTCAATCAATCACAAATGACTGGAAAACCCCAGCTGGTACCAGTTCTATAAACCTACATACATGTATTCATTTATATGTTATTATGAGATGGTATTTGTTTATAAACCCATTATTTTTATACAGCATTAAATGAGGACCATGTGATTTCTGAGACAGCCAATCTACATGGAGTTTGCCTTTTTATTAGTGCAGTGATAATACCATTCCTCTATTATTTTGCATTTTATGGGCCTTGTTGCCAGATCCGATGCCCATAACATGCCATATGATTAGCCTGCTCTGAAAGTCTGGTTTCGTAATGATTATGAGAATATTTTGGTTTGGAAACTGCAGTGAGTTCAGGTTGCCCTTAATGAATAGCAGGTCTGCTCACTGGCTGTCATTACCTTGACATTTAAGAGCTGAGGTCCCAGCACCCCCCAGATGTTTTCTGGTATTGGCGTCCGCAAATTGCAAAGGCTGGATGGCAAAATCTGATCTGGTCTGCCTATTTCGGATATCGTGTTGAGATACTCTTACTGTCACATGCTGGTTTCTGAAAGGCTGTTAGTTCAAAAACAGGATCTCTGGTCGCAAACACGGAAACGGCCCTTTGAGAAACAGCATCCTTACCTTGCAGAGGTTGTCTCCTGCACAGCCTGGGGCTATGTTGATGAACGTGGGCTTGCCGATGACAGAATCCAATGAGGGAGTGATTGGGAAGAATTCCAGTGGCTGGTTGCTCAGTCTTAAATCTTGGATGCAGCCTTTGAAATACCCACCGCTGACATTGGTTTCTTGGACATCTGGCAATCCACCGATGTAGATAATATCCCCACTCTGGATTGTTAGGATGGGTGTTGAAATATAGCCCAGATTTTGTGATGATTGGAACAACTCTGTCTTATTTGGCTCCATTTTTAAGGATATTAAATAGAAATTTCCATCATTCACAGTCTGTTTTCCAAAAACTTTTCTGGAGCTTGGACTTGACATCACAAGCTTCCCACCTTCCAGCCACACCTGAAAAAGTAGGATTGTGCTTTTTTTCAGAGAAAGCAACAAGCCAGAAGGCTTGCGTGTCCGGACAAACATGGATATTGTCTCATTTTTGTGGTCACTGCCCTCTATGGGAAAAGCAGCATATCCTACAGATTCTTCATGTCCAAATCTTCCTGGGATGTATTCTGGATGTTGCATGACAAAAAGAGATTAAACGACACAACTTTAAAATGAAAAGTACTGATGGAAGAAGAATGATATCCTGCAACAGATGAGCAATAGCCTATATTTGGTCTGAACTAAATATCTGATTACTCTTTTAATGGTAAAATGAGACTTTGTTTCTTTGTCCCATTTCAGCAGAGTGAATGATGGAACTGACAGATATGTAAAATGACTACATTTTACTTGAAATATAATATCTCCTTCAGTTGAAGGATTGAAGGCAGAGCCAGGATGTATGGAACCATTGGGATTTGAAGGAATATAAGCCAGGAATTAATTGAGGAGGGCAGGGTAAAGCAAGGATGATGCCAAGAGGGATAGGGATGAAAGTGGTGCAAAATGAACAGAGTCTGACTTTCAGGCTACAATAATGTCCTTCTGATAGATCACAGTTATACTGGTCAGCCCAGTAAAATACAGACTGGTTGGCCAGCCTACTAGCATAATTTCTTTTAATAGCAAACTGAACTGGGCAATGCCACAAACAAGGCCAATAGGAAACAAGGTCAAGGTATCAGAATGCAAGAGTATAAAATACTTTCAGGAAAGAAAAAAATGAAAGGGGAGATCCCAACCCATCCCTTGTCAACATGCAAATATGAACTCTTCTGCAGCCCCAGAATGCTGAGCATCTTTTGTGGGGAAGCCAGAAAACCAAGGTGGTGGTGATGGAAGGCAGAAAAGAGAATATCTGGCTGTAACACTAATCTCAGTCATTCCACATGGCGACATTTAATTGCAAGTTACAGTGCTCTTTGTTTTATCGGTATTTCTGTGCTTTGTAGAGATAGGTAAACATTGGATATTCTTTACCATATTTGAACGCTCATTCAAAAATGCATCATGAATCCAGAATCATACCTAAGGTCTCTTAAAGAATGAGACCTATGATCAATAAATACCATTTTTAAAAAACTGGTGTAACTGACACCAGTTCAAAGCAGAGAGATCAGCAATATTGCCTGACTTCAGTTTCACAATTCCTCAGCAAGAATTGTGTCCCCTCCCCTTCAGTCTTTAGGTTTCTTGTTTCCAACCTCTAGGACAGATATTAGCAAACATTCCATATGAAGTTCTGACTTCTTTTGATGACCCATGTCTGAGGGATGAGGAATACTGACAAAATACTGCCTCTGGTGTTGCTTCCTGAATGTTATGGATGATCCAATGAATTTTGCTCAAACTCATCTGTTGGTAGACAACAAGAAGTTTGGAAGGAATGTTCTTCCAAATCAGATTGGTTTGAATGAGCATCATTTCCCTTCCCCTTGGCTCACTGTCCAAGCCATGCCAGGGCTTTCTTAACCAAATCTCTGCATATGTTCTTCACTCCTTGGGGACTAATTCTAAGATGTGAGTAGAAGATTCCACAGATCAGGCAATGGCAGAAGCTCAGTTTCCAGGCCTGGCAATCCAGTAGCTTCATGACATTGACCAAACACAAGTCTGGAAGCATCTGACAGGATAGGTTGTGCCCGAACTGTAAAGAAGAGAGATGGGACCAAGGTGGAAAGGGTGTAATTTGTATTATATAACAGTAATCTTAAGTAAGTCTATTAGAAGAGAATGGTCAGGATCAAAACGTTTCTATAATCTTTGTCTTCTAATATCAAAATATTTTCAGAGCATAGCCATATTAGTTTACTGGAGCAAATACAACAAAGAGCTTGTGGCACCTTAAACCAAGTAACAAATTTATTCTACCAGAGCTGTTGCGGAAATTTTGCATAGTGTTTATAAATGTGAAACTCTCCATATGGAGCAGTCTGTAGTCTGCAAGAGCTTATGCCATAATAAATTGGTTTGTCCTTAAGGTGCCAAAAGGCATTTGTTAATCGTAAAATGGCTGTTTAACATGCATACAGGGTCCAAATAACTAATTGTTTTGTTAAAAGTCCGGGAATCATTCCTAGCCCATGGCTGAGATGAGTTGTGGGATTTCTGTGCAGGTTTTCATGGTACCTTCCAGAAGCCAGACAACACTGATACAGGAACGAGGCGCGCCATTCATGCTCAGCAGATGAGCTGCCTCTTGGCACGTAGATGCTGTTGGTGCAGCGCCCAATGGATGCTGCTCCCCCGTAGCAGTACGTTGTTCAGTTCACAGCACTAGATCAAAACCGTTCTCCCCAGAAGTGTGTGTCTGTGTGCCTTTCGGCAGGGGAGGAGCAACGTGCATGACCATGGGAAAGTGATTCGCGTGCAAGGCCAACCTTGCCCCGAAGTAAAGTGAAGCAGGCAGCTTCGGGTGGTGGAACTTAGGGGTGGGCAAATGAAACAGGAACTGATGTCTGGATATTGTGCTGAGACCTTTAAAAGTTAAAGTTGGTTCTGGCACGGCAGGAGATGGAAGGCTTGCTATTTAGTGCTTTGCTTCTGGCAGTCAAATAGCTTAGGCTGTTCCTATGCTGTAAGGTTAATTGATGAAATGGCTGTAAATGCACAAATGCAGTTGTCTTATCTGGGCTAAAATCCTTAATACATGAATGCTTTATATACCAAAAAAGATTCCAGGATAATAAATAAATTTAAGAACTAGAGAAGAGAAGAGAAGAGAAGAGAAGAGAAGAGAAGAGAAGAGAAGAGAAGCATGGCTCTTCAGAAACTCCATAAACAACCTTTTCTTTCACTGGATTTTTTTTTAAATAAATGTTGGGACTGAGACTTGCATAGCCTTTTTCTTTTCTTTTTTTCCCCCTGCAGCATTTTATTTTAATGAAAGGATTATAGGACCCATGAAAACAGGGGTATTCATTGTGGAAAACCTCCTTCTAAGTATTATAGGCCCCATATCTGTCGCTGCTTATTTAGTGGGGGAAAATAAATCCTTGACTTACTTTTGAATAGACAATTTCATAAATAACAAGTGAAAAATGTTTTAATTTTGTGAATGAGATTATCTTAGATTTCTTTATGTGCTTGTTAAAAATATAGCACACATGCATAAATCTTTTCCCCTCCTCCTCCCCCCATGTCGAAATGGGTGTTTTTAAGCATGAAAGGGTTTTTTTAAAACTTCTCTCTCTATTAAGGGAGCACTTGAAAGACATTTTTCATGTTGAAGAGAGAACGCTTACGATGCAAGTAGCAGGAAGAGGCGCGACGTTACGAAGAAAGGCAAAGGAAGCAAGGTTAGCCTTCAAAAAGGTAGCACGGCACCCTTGCAGTTTTCAATTACCCTGCTTCAAAAGAAATATTGGATCTGGTCTGCGGTTTGATGGGCATTTAGCATAACCTTGGTCAATATTAACCTCTTGAGCCATTACGTCTGGATACGGATGAAAATAAATCAACTTTCCTTGCTTCCCTGTAACTTTGCCTGCACTTGTTAACTGTATGTCAACTTTTCTTTAGGGAAGATACAAGTATTTCTGTACAAAGCTCACAGCAATCCCATCATCTTTAAAAGCCAGAGAGGGGGAGAGAGAGGGGGAGAGGGACATTGTCAGCTTGTCTGAGTTAACTGATTAATGCAAGTTTTCCTCCGTTTCATCAACTATGGCTGCAATCCTACACCTGCTTACTGGGGATCAAGTCCCTATTGAACTGAAGTGGGTTTCCTGTTGGAAAGACCTGGGTAGGATTGCCCTTTCAATTTAGGTATCTTGAGAATCACCTCCACTGAACTCAGTAGGACTCATTTCTGAGTATACGTACATAGGACTGGCCATAAAGCTTTGGTCAACAGATCAGTGTAGACTCATTTAACTGGTGGGGCTGCAAGTTAAGAAGACATTAGCTTTTTCCTTTTTTAATTTTACAACCACTGGTTTTGTCACATGGCATTTTTATTGATGGTTTTATATTGTCTTTGGTGTATTAGTGGAATGGGAAATGAAATATTGAACATGGCCTGGCCTTCTAACTTTTCAGCAACTTGCCAGCTCTATTGTATATATGCTTACTTAGATGTTAATCCCATTGTGTCCAGTGTTGGTTTCTCCCTAGTTAGTGTGTTTATGATGGCTGTTTTAGTTAAAGATTTTGTTTTGCTTCCTTCTGTAACAGAAGGAAGGCCAGTGTGGTGTAGAGGTTAAAATGCTAGATTGGGACACGGAGATCCAGGATTTGTCTCCACTCATCCATGAAACTCACTGGGTATCTTTGGGCCTAACTTACTTCACAGGGCTGTTGCTGTGAAGACAAAATGTAGTTGAGGAGGACCACGTAAGCCACTTTGGATTTCTGGCAAAAGGAAAAAGGTGGGATATAAATGGAACCAAAAACAAAGAAATAAAGTAATATATTGAGTTACTTATTAGGGATTTAGAGATACACACATTTGTTTACATCAGTGTGATTAATCCATTAAATGTTCAGAGCTTTTTATGTCAAGGAAAAGAGAATTAAATGATGTGCTTAACAGAATATCTGAAAGACTATGAATGCATGTGCATAAACTCTGCCCACCTGATCATAGAAATGTTGGAAAAATCCACAACAGACTAAGAATTTGATACATGGATTCATCAGCACCTTGGTTTTTTCTTAGTTGCTCAGGTACTGTGGACTTGCATAGATTTTTTAATTTGACACAATACAAAGTGTGATTTGTATTGATTTAATTTAATCAATACAAAGTATGATTTTTTTAAATGACCAAAATGTGCAGAGGTTAAGGAGTGCACATTTTGGGGTGCTTTGTTCATTTTAGAGAGGGCAAATTTGTTCAAGTGTGAATTTGTGCAAATGTCCACAAACACATTTGTGCGAAATCTATTGCCATCAATGAAAGGATGGTGGAACCAAATGTTCAGACACATGTAGGAGTTGTGGACCCACTGTTAACCATTCCAGAGAAATGCTTTATGCCAGCTGCTGGAAAAATCTGGAAATGGTGTATTTGCATATCTTTCCTCTCTCCCTCTCCCTCTCCTCTCACATGCTATATATCTGTACATATTATTGAATCAAACCAGTAGGATGCTGTGAACTGAGGAGAATATTGTGGTCAGGAGCAAAAAATGTCTCAAATGCTTTCTAATCATTCACAACAGCCCTAATGGAAGCATAAGCCCCTCTTGGAGCTGGATGGTTTTAATTTTGCTTCATATAAAGAGGCAAACATATTTACCAGATGTAGTCTTCTTTTCCAAAGTTGCATTTCAAACCTTTGGATAAATTACTGCTGAACTTCAAAGCCGTCGGCTACAATTATGGCTCCAGCAATGTCATTTTGCAACAGTGATTTTTTTAAGGTAGGTGCAAACTATGAAGGGTTGTGTGAAATGATATAGTATTTTTAAAATATTGAAATGCATTTTTGAAAGCTAACACTTTCTGAACAAATGTATCCAGTAAGCCCTTTTTGACCGGATATCAACTAAGGTAAATCCATATAACTCCACTAAGTCCACTGCAATGGCACCATTTCACATCTGCAACAGATACAGTGCTGTGGATTTCACTATGCATTCCTAACACTGCTTTTCATATTGCTCACCTCCCCTTCAAACATATTCATACACATTTTAATCTGGCTTTGCTGTGAGGTTTTCATAGTTCTAAGTGTTGTTGTTGTTAGTCGCAAAGTCGTGCCCGACCCATCATGACCCCATGGACAGCATTCCTCCAGGCTCTCCTGTCCTCCACCATCCCTCGGAGTCCACCCAAGCCCACACCCAGTGCCCCAGTGACCCCATCCAGCCACCTCATCCTCTGCCGTCCCCTTCTCCTTTTGCCCTCAACTGTTCCCATCATCCGGGTCTTCTCCAGGGAGTCCTTTCTTCTCATTAGGTGGCCAAAGTATTTGGGTTTCATCTTCAGGACCTGGCCTTCTAAGGATCAGCCAGGGTTGATTTCCTTTAGGATTGACAGATTCGATCTCTTCGCAGTCCAAGGGACTCTCAGGAGTCTCCTCCAGCACCTTTTGCAAACATCTCCGAATACGAAGTGTGGATGTGCTTTGGCAGCCCCTTTGTTTCTCATCACCCTTCAAAGATCTGGTAGCTTGTGCTATAAAGGGCCACTTTCCATTACATAATCCTCCCTGGATGCTCTCCTTGCTATCTGGCACCACACCACCATCTAAAGTTCAGTGGTTGGTGACCACTGTGCCTTTCCAGTGGTGGCACCCTGCTTCTTCCAGGAAGGTTTCTCTGGTGCTACCTTTGCTATCATTTTGGCAGCAGGTGAAGACATTTGTATTTGCCCAAGCTTTAACGGATCACATCAATTTACTGGAAAATATTCCAATCGGCTTTGCTGTTTCTGCACTAGTTTTAATGCTGCTGCTCTGCCTGGAGGAATGTTGTCCATGGGGTCACGATGGGTCGGACATGACTTCACAACTAACAACAACAGCTTTTGCAGGTATTTTACTATCATTTTCAACCAACCACCCTGATAGTTTCATTGAAGGGCAGCCTGAAATATTATATACAGATCATAGCATCGTCTATACTGCATGAGATATATAGATGACTGCTTTTTTGATGGAAAACATTCTGCCCAGCTGTTTTCTCTTGCAAGGGCTCAATAACCACAAGTTTTCTTTGGGGAAAAGAAAAATGGCTGGGGAGAAATATTTTCTGAGAAGCTCACTTCTCCTCTTCTACCCATCCATGCAGTGCTTTATATCTCTTCCACTCTGTTATAGGAAATTGGCATAGCTACATTTGGGCCATGCCACCTTCGCACCTAATTTGCCAGAGACAAATATGCAACATCGCTGTGGGGTTTCAAGGTGCACCCACAGCTTTTTCAACAGTTGTTTCTATTTGGTTTGGCCATAATGTACAGGGAATGCTGGACAGTGAGGAAACCTGACAGGAAGAAAACGGATGTGTTTGAAACCTGGTACCGGAGGCAAGGTTTGCAAATACTCCAAACTGACAGAAAGATGAACAAGTGGGCCTAGAGCAAAGCAAGGCAAAACATGCCCTGGAAGCAGAAATGTCGAAACTGGCTGTTACACTTGAAGTGCATCGGGATCCACTGGAGAAGACAATCATGGTAGGGAAAGTTGATGGCAGAGGAAGAAGAGCCATGAATTGATCCCATAAAGAAAGCCACAGCTGTGAGCTTCCAAGCACCGATCAGGCTGTCAGGGACAAGACATTTTGGAGGACTTTCATCCATAGGGTTGCCGTAAATCAGAAATGACTTGATGGTGTGTAACAATAACAATGGGAAAAGCAATGCCTGCATTTCAAAAAGAAGTATAATGAGGAAGACCTGTGGCTTTCAGTGGCAGAGCTTTAAGACTGAAGTCAGTGGGGCCAGGCTAAGATGTCAATGTGACTGAATTGTGTCCTGTGAGTGTACCTGGGTTTGCATGGTTTGGAGACCTTGGATTGACTGGAACAGGAACTAGATGCATCATCGCATTACACAGCCCCAGAAAATGGCATGATCAGAGATGCAGGAAGAAGGTGTAACCCTTCCACTGGTGCACTGGAATTGATGTAGAGATGGGGTGGGAAACTGGTGGCCCATAGAGCAGACCTGGCAATGCTGCCTTTCGATCCATTCTGTCAGCCCCTGTCTTTTCTCAATTTGGTTTGTGAAGTACAGCTTCCCCTCTGTTTGACACTAGTTAGACCCCATCTTGATTACTGAGTCTAGTTCTGGGCATCAAGACCATCACAGACAAATTAGAAGTTCAGTGGGGGCAATGAAGATTGGAAACCACCTGAAGAAAGACTGAAAGAATCGGGCATGCTTAGCCTCGAGAAGAAAGGACTGAGGGAGACAGGGCAGCACTTTTCAAATACTTGAAATGCTGTCACACAGAGGATGGTCAGGAAGTCTTCTCAATGATCCCAGATCACAGGACCTGGCTTGTTACAGGAACCAAGATTCCAGCTGTCTGAAACATCAAGAAAAACTTTCCAATTGTTAAAGCAGCAGGGCAATGGACCCAATGATCTAGAGAAGTCATGGGCTTTTCCACACTGGAGGCATTCAAGAGGTAGTTGGACGGTCATCTGTCAAACAGACTCGAACCTGCAGTCCTGCTCTGAGAAAGGGGTTGGATGTGATGGTGTCATTGGCCCCTTCTTGCTCTACTATTCCATGATTCCATCATTCTATGATTCCTACCCTGTCCCTTCCCCCCAGGGTCCTCCAACCCTTGAAGCTCATGGAAGCTGTTTGAAGTGGTGATCAAAATTGGTTGATGTGAGACTGCTAAAAAGTAATTGGTGGCCCTCCTGAGTTCCCTGGCTCTGTGCCATTTGTTCCTCTGGTTCCGGAAGTTGTTGGCCTTAATTGGCTGCTCTTGGAAGCCCTCCTGTGTGTGTCCTGCCCATCTCTTTCTCCTCCTGAGGCTACAAAGTCCTGCTCAGTCATGTCTAAAGGAAAATTCTACCTGGTAAGAGAAGGGGGCAGCTTGCCAACTTGTCTTAAACACAGTGGAATTATTCATAGGAATTCCTTCTTCTGTTTTGTGTGTGCAGTTTGTAAATCTGTATTTTCTGTGGATAAGAGCTGTGAAGGAAGAATTCTTGGGAGTGTTTGTGACTTTTGGGTAGAAGAAGGGCAATCTTTGTCTCTCTATGTGATAGTGTATGAATAAATGAACGGATGAGGATTGTAATTGTGTGTGTGTGTGTGTGTGTGTGTGTGTGTGTGAGAGAGAGAGAGAGAGAGAGAGAGAATTAATTAATTTGTGTGTGTTATGTGCTTTTATGCATTCATGTGTATGAGACATGTGACGTGGCTCTGCCCATTTTTTACTTTGGCTTCATCTATACTAGTTTCTAGAATTTAAGCCACAAGAGATTGTGCCTTTGGGTTGTGGGTGGTGGTGGTGGGGGGGAGAAGGTTCCTACCCCCTGATGTAGAGAAAGAAGTAACTTTGGAGGAGTAATGTGAATTTAAGAACTGACTTCTGTAAGCTATGAAAAGTTAATTTTGGCATTGCCAAAGAGCTGAGATGTTGACTCCTCTATCTAACTGGACAACTTGATATGATCCATGAATAGTGTGACCCTAAGAGCCGCGGTGGTGTAGTGCTTAAGCATGCAGGAATGGTGGTCTGCAACCTAACCATGCATGTTCTCTATATGATCTCAGGTGGTAATTCGGGCTCTGTGGTCGATGGGTTGACCTTACCTGCAGCACAGGTTGGACCAGCATAGGGCCGGTAGCAGTCACACTGATAGCTCAGCCACAAGTTGATGCAGCGCCCCTTGTTGTGGCAAGGGTGGTGCTCACACCAATCCTTTCTAATGCAGCCTTCCTTGACATTTAAAGAGGAGTTCGATGACACGTTCTCTGGGATAACCATGATCTGGTCTATCTCAATGTCCTGAAGGCAGCCTACAAATGAAGGTGCAGAATGCATATTATGGATGTTAGGAAAGGAGTCACCACTCCTGTTCCCCGCAGGCAAGCCACCAAAAAATGTGCTCTGAAAGGCAGACCATGGCTGATCGCTATCTATTGTGGCAGCAGTTCGGCTGAGGCATGTTTCTGTGCAAGAGGTGTCGTGCAATTTAAGAGTCACGTCTCTTGCTATGGTTACTTCTAATGAATGCCATTCCCCATCACTGACATTGTATGCTACATGCAAAAAGACTTTTGAGTGGTTATTGACTTGCACCGATAAGTGTAGGTAGCCCTTCAGTAGCTCCAGCATCACAAATGTCTCTTTGTCCCCTCGAAAAAATAGCAAAGTTCTCGGCTGAACAGTCAGAAAGCGAAGGCTTATGTTGTAGAAAAAGTCCTGCGTAGGGTTTGTGATGCTGTTAACCTGAAGGAACCCATTTCCCTGAAAGGACAACGTGGTTGCGGTTTCACACTGAACTCCAGTATATCCATTTGAACATATGCAGCTAAAAGTGTGCTGTCCATTTTGTAAGTGAGGAATGCACAGCCCCCCGTTTTGGCATTTGTGCTGAATGCAGCCGAGGAGGACTTCTGTACAGTTCCATCCACCATAAAATAGCTTGTCTTCCTCTCCAGCAGGACAACGGCAGGTATAATTTCCAAGGACATTCTCACACGTCCCACCATTTTGGCAAGGGTTCATGTGACATTCATTGATGTCTTCTTCACAGTGAATGCCTGCAAAAAAGCAGAGCAGGGAGAAGGGTAGAATGAAGGCATTATTTGTATAGACTGGATTAAGTTTGCTGCATCTCTTAAAAATATCAGTGCAGGATACGATTAGCTGCATAGCACAAAATAGATCCTGGAAGGGGAGGCATGTTCCTCTGTTGAAGACAAAGGAGTTTTGTGTCACCTTAAAGAACAAGGAATTGATGCTGCCATGAGCTTTGGTGAATTGGAGTCCACGACTTCAGATGCAGTGTGTCTTCAGTTGACAGATAGCTATGCACACACAGCTGGGTGGTACTCATGGTGAAGAAAGAGGACAGAGGGAAATGAAGGGCAGAAAGCACAGACAGTGACAGTTCATGAACAGTGGCTATTCACAAAACAGCTGCTGTGTGTAGTACAAAAAGAGGTTGGATTACACATGCCCACAAGGTTCTTCATCCACTCAATAAAATGGCTAATACGAGGTCAGTTGGAGCAGTCGCATAATTTAAGAGTATGAGAAACACTGATACAAGGAACAGAAAGTCCTAAGTACAGTAGGGGGAAAAGGGAAGTCATTTCTCCACCTGTAGTCCCCCTCTTTAAATCACCTGCCAGCAAATTCTTCTGACAATGTTTAGCAATGCTAAATAGGCCAGTAAAAATTGTTGCCCAACAAACTGAATGAAAACCTGCAGCCTCATGTAAGTTGGCCCACTCAGTGCTCAATAAAACCAGTTTTGCTGGTTGCTTGGGACCGAAAAGTGCCTGGAAAGCCACAACAAATGATTAATGAAATAAGTTTGTCCTGGTGGGCTCCATGTGGTATTTAACACATTATACTTCCTTCTACTTAATCAGGTGTCTTAGGTTCACTGTGCAATGAGAATCATCAATGTCATTCCCCTGGACTAAGACATATCAAGGGATACTTCTCTTGGCACTCACCAGGTTGTCTGCCCATTTATTTATTTTTTAAAAATATTCTTTTTAACTGGGAGGCTAATGCAGTGGTTGAAGGTTCATTTCAAAGTACAGCTAGCCACATGGAAGGCCGTACAGGTAGGATGCCTCCGTTTGCATGGTCATGTTCCAATTAGGCCTTAATACTTTTCTGGACAGTCAGTTCTCATAATTTATATGAATTGGTGATGATTTCTAGCTGTAGTTTACAAGGCAATTTATCATCTTCTAGCATCTAGTCTAGTCACCCCTGAGGACAGCAGTGCAAAACAGCTGCAAAGTGTTTCCAAGTCAGGAAGGAAGCATTATTTTATTCATTTTGTACTCATTCCCCACAGGTGCAAATGACTTGTGCGAGCTGCAAGGCAGTCATGAATGGCACCTACTTTGTTAAAAAATTATTAACAGCATGCTTTTAAAATGCATTTCTAATGGGAAAGAGTTCCAAGGACACATTTGTTTGTAAATCCAATACATTTCCACCTTTTAAATTCAGTGACACACTTTGCAATTAGGAGAAGAGATAAAATGTGTCACAGAGTGAAAGACATTTGCTAATGCAAAGATAATATGAAGTAATGGGTTTTTGCTGCTTCTTAATAGTCTCTGTGCAGAGGGAAATGCTTTAGCAACAAACAGAATGCCATGAAATAGTGGAACTACAATCAGTATCCACAGCAGCCCTATAAAGAATAAACACTTTATTAACTGACGTACAACTGGAGAAAATGTAAGGGATTTATCCTTCAGGATCAAATTAGTCTCCTGCTCCCCACCTCCTCTGTGCATCTGTCTTTGCTTACTGTCAGCCTAGAACTGGCCTGAAGCAGGCCTTCTAGCAACCTGATATAGAAATGTGCATTATGCCTTTCATAACATGGGCAAAGGGTGGTATTTGGTAGCAGACTACATTGGTCTGTATGTACACAGACTCAGATTCCCATTCGGGCATATCCTGATAAGGCTGGCAAGACCCCTGATTACCTCTCAGTGTGGGTGGTGTCTGATGGTGTGACTCATAGAAAAGCTCCCCACCTCCCTATGAATGCCTATCAGTTTGGTACATCCCAAAATAAGGATGTGCTTTCTGTGTAACTACAGAAGCCCTTTCTAGAACCCTTCTAACTCTCTATTCTATGGTGAAATCTAGATGGGTCCAGGCTAGGGAAGGCTGATTTAAAGACACCTTGAAAGCATCGTCCCCATGCGTGCACCTGTATGCAGGTGATAGAGCCATGGGACAGATGATGAGGCCAAGGGAAAGGGCAGAGGAGGCGAGAGGCGAGCTCCACTGGAGATGGAAAGGGACATGACTAATGCAAGAAGTGGCAAATCTAGGCTGAGGACCACTTCTCTGATGTCCGCCATGTTCGTCGTATGCTGCATTCCATCGTTCCATACTTGCCAATCTTGAACCGGTTTGAAAGCAGATAAAATGTTCCTTTGTTGGGTTAAATATAGGCTAGGGAAACACAGTGTGTGCTATGAAAGGAACCTCACCACCTGTAATATGTGAAAGAACAAGCCATGCGCTCTCTGGGTCCTTCACGTTCCACGTGCATGTAGCAATGTACATCTATGTACATGCATCTGCCCAGCTATGTAACCACTAGAAATCTGGCTGGAGGCTGAAGAATGATGGCTTTGTTTTATTATGTGCATAATATGTGCATAATATGTGCATGGACTTAAAGGCAGCCCCTTCTTCCTGCCACAAGTCATTGTAAGGACAAAATATTGACAATGATTTCTCAGGCTCAGGAAGAAGAAAACATTCATATGGAGCACTGGAATAGAGGTGTGTATATGTGTGTGCGTGTATGCATGCATATATAGATATAGATATAGATAGGTAGATAGAGATAGAGATAGATATAGACAGTGCTTTTTTTGTAAAAAAAAAAAAAGGTGCCAGAACTCACGTCTTGGGGTCACACTTTTACACTAAAAAAGATTTTCAATTCACCAACTTTTTTGAAATAAAGAACTTATTTACCTTTTGCACGTAGCCAGTCACTCCACACACACATAAACATAATGGTCGCCGCCAGCAGTAAGCACTCAGTGCACGACCACACGACCAATCCCAAGCCGGGCAGCGTCCCAAGCCGAGCAGCACCCTCACGATCAGTGCCGACACACAAGCAGCCCTCAGGTACTATGTTAATGATTTTTGCTGCCGACCTGCTATGCCCAACAGGGCGATTCACAATCACTTGGAAAAATCCGTCAAAAAGAGGTGCCGGAACGTTGTTCCAGTGCGTTCTATGACAAAAAAAGCCCTGGATATAGATGATGATATAGATACAGATATATATCAATGTTTTCTTTGCCTGTGTGTACCTGCAAGCAAAAAACTTCTCATTTTCAGGAGAACAAATATATAAACCTATGCAAAGTCCTCATGGGTAGCATTGCTAACTATTCCAGTGAAGACTGGCTCCTATTCCTCCTTAGTGGTCTTGTTGGTGCGTGGAGTGTTGACACTCCCGTTAAGAGGATTAAGAGACATTTATGGATCCTCAGGCACAATTTAGCCACTCGCAGAGGCCCATATTGCAGTGGGCTGCAAATTATTAGCATCCCAGCAACGCGTGTGCAATGTGTCAAAAGTTGGCTGTGGAAAAGGAAGGGTTTCTAAGACATTAATTGTTTTCAGCCATTAAAGGCATCTGCTAAACCAAATGTTCTGCATTTTCTTATGGAGGAGTGGGGAATTAAACTACTTAAACTTGTATTGATGTTTACAATGAGCAAAAGTTTCTGAGATGTCAGATGGTTCCAGTCACTCTGCAGCATTTAGCTGCTGTTCGTCTGTCCGCTTTAATGGGTTTTAAAGTGAGATAAGGTCTATCCTATTTGCTGTATATTTGCAAACTCTCTTTTGCTTTGATAATATCCCACATGTGTTCAGTTTTGTGTTTTGGTTTTACCGAACTGCCCTTTTCTGACCTAAGAGGTGCAGATGAAAAGTACCTTATACTGCCCTAAATGTGGTGATGAACAGGTCACAGAGATGGATTTACAGGCTGAATCCCTGTTGTTTATTTTGGACGTCACTAAATAGTAAAGCTATTGCTGGAAGCTGTTATCAAGAGCAAGTCTGATTTGATTAAGGAAAGAGAATGGGAAAAATGGATATTAACTTCTTTCCACAGTTTCCAAATATATTCTAATTATATTTGACTAGAAGGAAACTAATATTTAGGTGACAAGGTTCTAACAGTTAAGTCTGAGTTGAATCAGAATTTAGAAATAAAATACTTTTGCATGACCATTATTTTAAACTATACAACCTGTCTTTTTGGTAGTTGGTGCATTAAAACACACACACACACACCCCACCTCAAACAAAGAAAACCCACATTATCATTCTTTTTCTCTGTTCAGAATATATTCTAACTATATTACACTAAAAGCAAGGTGTAATATTCAAATTTAAGCTTCTGATAACTTAGCTTGGAGTTGAGATGTTAATTTGGAAACAAAAGGGGGAAAAATACCTGTTAGCATTGCCATTAAAAGAGCCCAGGCTGGAATCTTAGCTGCAACCATTTCTTCTGCAGTAGATGCAGTCCTTTTATTTGCACGTCCCATGAGATAGCTATCTCTGTGTTTCCAAGAGGAAGATGTGAAGCCACCTAGATCTACAAGTGTGTTTTGTTCGCCAGTGTAGCTTGATAGCATGTTCTCTGGCAAGCCAGATCAGCAGGGCTTAATGTAAGACTCATTATACTACTTATGCAATGGTGATCTGTTATATACTTAGGGCATGACCCCGGGCAGACCGACCTGGAAGTAATTTCTGATACGGTTCAGCTGTGATGTACTTCCCATGTAAATGTGCTTATGGTTGAAATGGGTGATTGGTTTTCGTTTGTTTGTCTTCTAACATATTGCATCCTATGTCATTCTGTCCAAACATAAATCCAGATGTCAATCTATTTGACATAGGTCCAGTTTTGTTGCTTACCCAAGTTAAAGAGCTTGTTTCTGTGCTAAAATGGGTTGGTAGACGGACTTCCAAGGTGTTGCTAAGGGAATGCGTGAGGTAGGCACTC